CGTGATGACCCAGGACTTATCTGTCAATAGTCCACAAACCCACAGGTTTCATACAGCAAAGCTAGAACAACTGTTACAGTGTAATGTCACTTCTCCGCAGCTAGGTTAAGGACTCTCATATCTACGTCAACCTATGCAGATGTTCGGGAAAGCTATTATGACGTCACGATAAAACAATTCAAATGAATCTCGATGAATAAATACTATATGTTCTTTTTAAAACGCACTAAAATACTTCCGTTTCTCATAAATATTATAAAGATAAATGAATGTGCAACTTATCTTGCCAAAATAGCACTTTGAGTATGTAGAATGAAATCCAGCTTGATCTCGCTGTACTAACTGAGATGACGTTTTTTCTTAGTTTGATACGCAGTTTCTCTGTACTTGAGGCGTGGATCAAGCTATTATCGTAGCTTGTAAAAATATAAATAAATACGAAACAAGCTAAACTGGACTAAAAAATGCATATTCTGAAATATGTTAATCCACATTTGGCTGTCAAACTAAATTGATAATGTGTAGACCTTATATATAGCCGTAGGGAGCACATTTGTACAGTAATGTGCTAGAATGAGGGGTCCAGCCCCTAGAAAATATCAAAAGGTCAACGATATCCGCTTCACTATAAATTCTTAATTTTTAAACATGTGTAGCTATTATTCCAACTATTATGAAAAGTGCTGGGAGCTGGTTGTGCATTGTTCATTTATTTCTTAATGTAACATAATTCCAAGGCGTATTACATCTATGTCTGAAGTTTATAGAAAGACGGCTAAATTTTACACAATTCCCGAGCATGAGGAAGTTGCTCCCAGCACTTTTCATGTTAAGAAATTTGTCTTAAACAAAACAGAATAAATTCTATAGTGGAAAGATATCCGTATATCGTTGAACTTTTACGATCTTTGTAATAATACATATATATTCTAATTTTAAACCTGTCACGTGACAGCTGATGCAAGCGATGTCGCTTTGGCCAAACTCAGCAGGGACCCGATATATACAAGTGCAAACACCACACCGCTCATTAATCAAAACTAATGCTGTTAAAAAATAAAATTGTATTCATTTTCTCTGAATATATAAGGCGTATATTTCATGGGCGTCCTTAACCTAGCTGCGTCGTTAAGCAGAAATTTCGCCACGAACACTGCCAACTCATTTTCAAATGCTCAACACTGGACATACACTGAATGAATGTCGTTACTTAAAATAAGTTCACTGCAAAAGCCTCAAAAGATTTCCATAGTGACTGAACAACATCAATGTCAAGGCAAATGACGATAACATATTCTAACACCATTTGACAACAAGATTGGACTTTTGTTGATGACTGGAAATTTCTCACTCTCGTGGATGAAGAATTTCATAAAGATGGCGAAGGTTATGGATCTGCACCTCTCCCTTTTAAAGATTCTAAGCCATCGATGCTTAACTATTATTCACAGGCTTGCTAACGTGTTCTGATCTTCAACACAAGTCTACAGTGAAAACTTCATAACAGAGATTTTTCAAAACATTTTTTGCATTCATGTTGAAAGTCTTATCAAGTGGGGCAGCCGAAGTTTCACCGTGCAATATACTTTTGTGATGCCTGGTATTTACCTCTCTTTTTTGAGTGTACAATTTTAAAAACCAAATCAAATTCGAAGAGTTTTTCGATTCATCTGCTGTGTACGAGAATATTTCGTTGAACATTGTGTAAATGTCTTGACCAGACTTATCAAACAACTTTGTTGGAATCCTCATGCGTTTTCGTGAGATTGGAATAGTGATTAGTGGTAACATTCAGCAGATATCTTATGCACTCCGTGTTCATGAAAAACAACATGATTATTTCAGGTTCTGCTAGTATAAAGGTAATGACTTTCAGAAGAATTGATACATATTGTATGAAATCTCACGATATTGGAAACACACCATCTCCAGCTATGACAACTTATGAACTTTATAAAGCATCAGTTCTCATTGAAAGTGATGTTCGTAAATTTGTTTACAACTATTAATACGTTGATGATGGTATTACCTCCCTTCCCAATGAAGCTGAAACAGTGATGGTTATGAAGAAGGAAGTATTCATCTTCATAAAATCTTTTCAAACAAAGTGTAAATGTGATGAAACCATTCGCTGTAGATGACCTAGGAAGTGACATAAAAAACTGAAACACTGTGCAAACATGTGCAACTTACCTGTTCAACACAAATTTAGGAATGCAGTGGGACAAACAGTGATATGTTTTCGCGTAAAATCTCTCATGCGGAGAAACTGTGTATCCAAAGAGGTCTTTTATCTACACTGAACAGTGTGTTTGGTCCAGTTGCGTCGTGGACTTCTACATCTTGGATGTGACTTCGAGAGGAACACGTTAAAGAATGGCAAATTTGGCTTTGTTCTGTACTCTCTGTCAACAACTATAGAGCTCCTAGAATGATCGTATCTTCCTCAAATGTCAGGCACAATGCTTGGATGTACGTCCAAGTGTTCTCTGATGCATCAGAACATCAACCTTCTGCCCTTGCATATCTCCAAGTCATTGACTAATCAAGGGAAGTTTCTAATGGTCTGAAATTCCTTATGGGAAATACAAAACTGGCACACCTTAAAGATTACACCATACCAAGATTAAATCATGTTCTTACCCTAACAAAAAATACAATAGTTAACTATAGTTTTCTATAGTTAACTATAGTAAATCAAAGTGTCAAAGTGATCACTATAGTAAATCAAAGTTTTCAAAGTGATCATTATAGTGTCATAGTGATCACTGTAGTAAATCAAAGTTTTCAAAGTGATCACTATAGTGCCATAGTTATCACTATAGTAAATCAAAGTTCTCACCATAGTAAATCAAATTTTTCATAGTGATCACTATAGTAAATCACAGTTTTCATAGTTATCACTTTAGTAAATCAAAGTGTCAAAGTTATCGCTATAGTAAATCAAAGTTTTCATAGTGTCAAAGTTATCACTATAGTTAACTATAGTAAACTATAGTTAACTATAGCATTTTTTTGTTAGGGTAACGCACTGGCCACATAAGTAGGAGAAGTAGCTTGTGATTGTTTGAACATTCCAAAAGATCATTTTCATTAATACACTGATAGCAGAATTGTCTTTGGATGTATTTGCAATATCAACCGCAGATTTCTTGTGTATGTTTCAAACCGTGTTGAAAAAAATTCACAAAGTCTCATATCCATCTTAGTTGTCGTATGATACAACAGATAAAAAAGCAGATATAGCGACAAGATATTCACATAAGGCATTGCCTACATCTCTATGAAACTGAATAGCTGGAACTATCAGTTGAGAATATTCTAGAGAAAACTGAGACTGTTTTTACTTTCATGGAGCCGGAAAGTGACAATAAAAATTATCAGGAAATTGTGTCTTGCTAAACTCGAATGTCATCAAATATGAACTTAGATTTCAAACATAAAATATATGTTTGTCAGATTGACATCATTTTTGGTCTAGTGTTATTCATGATAATGTTTGGATTACCTTCCATGACTGTGCTTACAGGCATGGATCCTTAAATCGGACGGAAGACCAATTCGATGCTTTGCAAGGAGCTTTGCTCTAGTTATTGTTTTTTTTTTTTTACCGAATTTGTACACGCCATTTTTGAAAACAGCTTATATTATTAAAATTTCAGAACTGATGTTCCATCACTTGAAACTAATGCGTTTATTTCTGTTTTGATGATGTTACTTTCGGTCCGGAGATATCGTCGATCTTATGATTTTAATTTTAAAAAGTTGTTTTGTCAGCCAATTTTCTCATTAAAGTCTCTTCATAGAAACATTAAATTGTCAGAAATTGTAGAGTTATGTGTGTGAATGTGCAAAAGGTATTTTATTTTACAGGAAATGTCGCATATCGGAGCTTGCTATGGTCCGAAAATAGGTATATCAAAAATTTAAATTTTATTAACACTTTCTCAAGAATATCTCTTTACAGTTAATAAATTTCTAAGATATATTAAACAATAAATTTGCGCAATTACAAGATCGTTCATCTGATATCAACGAAAAGGGACTGGTCCCTAAAATAAGGGATTTAGAGGGGCTGTTAGTTTTTCTTAATGTTTTAATTACTATTAATTTTTTCATACATTATTGAAGCAATGTTAATTAGAAAAACAAGTATCATCTTGTAAGATCATCAAAAGTAGACAATTGCCGTCATACTGGCAAACTGAATATAGTCATATGGTCAGAAATTGCATATTTTGCAGTTATCCACACGTTCTGCGGTGAATTAAGTCACTGAAAGCGTCAACCTTATTTTTCGTTGATTGACGTCACTTGCTGTCAAACTAGAAGAAGTCAGATATCGGAGCTTTACTCTAGTTATTATTATTATTTCCATTTGATGCGGTTAGTTTTCATGGAATTTCTTTGATTGGACGCAGAAGCAGAAATATATATTGAAAATATTTATGGGTCTTGTTATGTTAACTTTTACATTGCAATTTTTCAAACGATGTTTTAGACTTTAAAAAAGTGATGAAGATTCATTCTACAGGTACCCGTCGCGATAATTGTTATTTTACCGAGTAAAGGCATGAAATGATAAGTCCGCCACCAAAAATCAGCGCAATTAACATATACCAAAGAAGATATATAGAACATGTTACAAATTTATTGGGATTTGATCATAAGAAACGTTTTAGAAAAGTACGAATACCTTTTTAAAATTGTAATTGTTTTCAAAGCCATAAATTTGCCAGTATTTTTTTAAAAAAAAATGCTCAAATCATCCGCTGAGTTTTTTTTTAAAGTAGTCATGAATTCTTTTTTTTCAATTATTAATAATTTCCGATTTCTTTAACAACGAACTGCCTTACTTCTGTACCAAGACTACAGGGACATGACTGAAAATTGCTGACTTGGCGTTAAGCATTGATAAATCAATCAAAAAATCTTTACCATAACGTGCAGGTAATTTTAAAAATTATCACTTTTTTTTGCTAACTATTCATTTTACTTACATAAAGGATTCATCCAAATGTCCTCACTTTTTTCTGATTCAAGAGTTTCTTTTGCCTGACAGCTATATCGGTTGTATTTAATATCTTTGGTGACATTAAAGCTGTAGGTCTCTCTATTTTCTCTTTCTAGCTTGGTGTTGTTGACAAACCATGAATATGATAACTGTGGAAATTTCTTGTAATAGTATGGAGCAGACGTAGATTTACTTTCACAATTCAAGAAGGCGTTGTCTCCCGCCTTGACATTAAGTTTTCCTTTTATAATTGGTTTCATTGGCTTTCCTGAATATATTCTTTTAAAGTTTATGATTTTTTGTAAGTGTATTATGTACTATATTAATTATAACGTTCATTGCAAGAAAATCGCGTATTTCAAGTCATTTATGTTTTTAACCAAAATCTTAAACCGTTGTGCATAGTATTTGAAATTAGAATCACACACTACTTTATAAACAGATAAAAAAAAAACTTGCCCAGGGTTAACATTACTAATTACAAATCGAAGAAAGATAACATAACTTATATACCATGATTTCTAATTCTTAAAAAAAGAATTATAAACAGGTTTACCAGAAACAATGAGAACGACTCCACCTTCTCCTGACAAAGCTTCTGCCTTTATTTGACCCCCTACGTAATATCCAGCATCTTCCACTGTTATATTTTTCACCTCAATCAGTATGTTTGTAGAATTCAAAGGTCGGGTGTGGTATACATGCCTGTCAGTTGCTAAGATTTTATAATAAGTTATCCGTATAATTATTGACACTGAACCGTTATATTCATGAAATATAAAGTAAACTCCAGTTCGCGGAAAATGTTCAATTGCCCACGACATGTTTCTTGATTCTCCCAACTTTGATTCAACTTTACTGACTGAAACAAAAAAATGAAAGAGAAAGAGTTTAGATAAAGCACAGTGTTATAGATTAACTTTGCAATGCATGTCATAAGTACAATGAAATATCTTCATGAAAGTACACATTTTATTGAACCCTATATAGTTTACTATAATAATGAAGGAAATATTCCGCTTTCACATTTTCAAAAAATATCTTTCAAAAAACTAATTATATCAAAAACACATCTTTACTTCTTTATACATTTCAACATGGGTTATTTGTATGTATTTTGAAGAGATTGTCACATATATGTTTCAAAAGGAGCAGCAGTTATAATGCCAAAGTTTCAATGATTACCATGGCAACCGATAAAGATTTAAATAGTCTAGAAGACGTTGTATTTTAATGAAAGATTTCTTTTATTTGAATAATTTATCATTTTTTAAAAAAAAAAAAACCTATTTGATTAAAAGAACAATTGAGACAAGTTTGAAAAGTTTGAAATTCTGCGGATATTCGGAAAAAATATCTTGGTTGTAGAGTCCATACAAGTTTGAAAAGTTTGAAATTCTGCGGATATTCGGAAAAAATATCTTGGTTGTAGAGTCCATATGATTGTTTTCATTATCACATTAATGTATATATCAAATTTGAACTCTTTTCGACACTGTGCTCCTTGCAGACTATTATTGCGTGTCCTGTTTATCTACAGTGCTGGGGCTAACACATGGTTTACGCTTTGATGAGGATGCGTACACTATCGATGGAGAAATGATTCGATCAGACATATTCAAATCACACATCACACAGTTATAAATACCCAGCTAGCACAAAAACATTTTCAAAATGTTAGGAAAACATTTTCAAAAATTTTTAATCACGTGATTTTGTATGTTTTTTAAAACGTTTTTAAAACATTTTAACAAAATATTTCAGCAAATGTTATCAGAACATTTTCTTAAAAGCTTACAAAAACATTTTTCGAATATGTTTTAATCACGTGATTTTTATGGTTTTTTTAAAACTTTTTAAAAACATTTTGTAAAATGTTTCAGCAAATGTTATCAGATCATTTTCTTAAAATGAAACATTATATTTTCAAAAATGTTTTATTTTGGTTTTTTGTATGGTTTTTAAAACGTTTTAAAAACATTTAAGCCAAACATTGCAATTTTTTTTCCCCTGAAATGTTACTTGGGTTTTCGATGGTATAATTTTTTAACTTGAAGTGCTTTTAACATGTTTAATATGTTTCATAATTAATTAATTATAACTTTCAAAGAATGAAACAAAAAAATTCAAATAAATGAATTTATTTTTCTATTCTAATACAAACCCATATTCAATATGTAAATCACATTTAAGTTCAATTCCCGGTACAAGTTTGACTTATTTTGTTTTAACCCACGAGGTTTTTTTTGAAAGGAAGAAAACATTATCCAATCCATACACCGAATTTTAAAAGAACAGAATCACGGAAATCCTTTCTTCTGAAAGAATAAACAGGCCTTCATTTAGGTCACTGTTTATTAACAATTTTGCAAAAAGCATGTATTTACATCTGTTCACTATAGGTTCAACAGAGCGGCGGATCCATTATTGAGAATCACACACACTGAAAAAGCTCAGAAGTAGCTTGTCTTCGGAAAGAAGCTCTTGCATGTTATGTAAAGCGCAGCCTGTACATATAGAGAAAATGGTTTTTAATCATCGGTCTACATGATATATATATCTTTAGAAGATGAAAATATACCAGAATTATACATTTTAAATAAAAAAAGCACAAGTACTTTCCCCATTTGCATTAATGAAAAGAATTAGATTAATCACCATAACAATAATATTGTTGAAGAGTAATATTACGTAGGTACACAAATTTGCCTTCATCAAAGGCGGGTCTTTTGAATGTGGCAATTTGAATGAAATTCAAATATGTTGAACATGTTGATGGAACAGACATCTAGCTGCAAAGCAATTTCATTTTTTGATAATCATTTTATATGATGATTAACATAACACATAAATTTGTTGTGTATATATAGTAAGTATCCAATTCAAATACCAATACGCTTTGTCTTTGCTACACATATGCATACAAAAATACAATCATGTACTGCTAGTAGAAAAAGTCATTTTAAAACATGATCTTTTTAAGTCTATGATAAAGGAATTATACTCACCAATCAGAGTTAATAATTCAGCGCTTTTTTGTAGCTTATATGATGCAAAGTCTTTTCTTTCGAATCGGCAACAAGAAAACGCGCATATCCTGTTTTCCAGAATTCAAATTTTGGCCTAGATAAGCTACAAACCACTATACTATGCAACGCGCTGCCCAGCAGGAAAATTGCATAACAAGGTTACCATGGCACTGAAACTGACCAGTGAGCCAATCCTAATCTAAATGCTTTAGAGTTAAATTATGGGTGTGGATCACAAATATGATGAAAAGATTTTTAAAAAGGCTATGTTATTGTAAACAGTTTATTTATTTATTTGTTTGTTTATTTATTTATTTGTTTATTCATTTATGTAATGTATTTATGCTTTTATTTATTTGTTTTTTTCCATTCATATATTTTTTTAAAGTATCTTTTGTTTCTTCTGTGAACTTTACACCTGCCTGTTAATTCAATAAGAATTAAGAGGAAATGTTGAAGAAAAAAAAATTACCTGGATAATGCTTTTGATTTTTTTTTTTTTTTTTTTTTTTTTTTTTTTTTTTTTGAAATACAATTCCTAATTTCCTCACTATCTTTTCTGGATATTCTAAATATTTTCCACATCGAGGTCATAAATGATTTGAATGTTTGCACGGGATTTCATCTAGTTTTATTATCTCTAACTACATTGACGCTTGAGTATTAATGACGTCGCCCATATGACGTTGACAGGCCGAGAGCAAATAATTTGTAGCATATATATGACAATCTCTTCAAGATGCATACAAAATTTTGACCGGAAGTTATATTACAAGTTTAAAAAAAAGAATCTTAGATCCTTAGGCCTACTCATTATTTGCGTACGGCAAAAGTGCTTGTTATAGATTTTGGATAAGGTAAATGCTTATAGTATTATACAAGAAAACATTGTTGAAAGTGACTAGGCCTAGCATAACCTATGGCTATGAGAACTATTTGTTGGGGAGAGGAGGCAACAGTCTCGTAGAAGCTAATACAATACATTGATAAAATTTCATATTTCATTGAGAATAATTTTTTTCAAGCCCACTTCTGCGCCTCGGGTGAAAGGAAAGGCAATTTAGTAGGATATTTGGCATATATCCTGTAACACCACTTAATGATACAAGTAATATTACATGCATTGCGGAAAAGCAAGGAAGGACAATTCCAGAGGGATGGTTTTAAAGAAGGTGCAGGAAGAAGGGCTAATAAATTAAGCAAATTAAAACCTGCTACATATGACAGAACAAAGTCAACCTCATGGTTAGACTACAGGTCCCATTTTAATGCCTGTGCTTCGTCTATGAAGTGATCAGAATAGGAGAAGGGAATGTATTTGTCGGTACTCCTACGAGGTCAATCCCAATGTGTGCTTGGACATCTACCAGATAGGTTACAGATGAACTTCCAAGAATTGTCAAAATCTTTGGAGGAGCCTTTCTCTCCTGTAAATCAAACGAAATTTTACAGAGCTCAACTTAAAGAAAGGCATACCAAAAAAAAAGCAACAGAAACTGCACCCCATATGATGCACATGATGCTTCTGATCTGGATCTAGGTGGTGGATAACTGTCAATTGAAACCAACTCGTATACTCTGGAAGAAGTAATGCAATCCATGAAACATATGCTTCTGAGTCTTCAAAAAAGATGTTGACAAAATAAAACATGGACAGCTTTAGAAAGTTCAACCAAAATGGGCTAGCTTGCTTTGTATTCGTCATGAAAGTTAAATCGGAATTCAACTGATACAACTACTAAGAAATGCTTCAACTGTGGAAAACCGTGGCACTTCTAAAGAAATTTTAGGCTGCAGAATTCCTAGAAAAAGAAAGTCTTGGAAAGGAGTGTTCTGGACCACCTAGAGGACCAATGGAAAAGGTTACAAAAAGAAGTTACCGCAAAAAAAATAACCTTCGCGAAACAAGAGACCAGTTAAGAAAGAATGTGTTGGAATCCAGAGAAAAGTTATAGAGCCAGGCATGTATGTCTTAGGAGCTCTTAAGGGGGTGTCGATTTCAGCATTAGGACATACAGATTCAACTGCTCCTCTTCTATCACAAAGAAATATTTGATGTGATAAACCACAATTGGGAGATAGTGTTGTCTGAAACGGATTTAAATATTTTGTCAAGTACAGGCAGTACTTTAAAATTTTTTTGGCACTTATAAAATCTAAATTTGGGAAGAAAATCATTTATAAACATCTTTGGTCGCAGACATTAACGTAGATGCGATTTAAGGGCTCGGCTGCTTGCAGTATAACAAAGGTGTAATCATCTACACGAAAAGACACATGCTGGGAGATGAAACTCATTATTTGAAATTCGAAGGTAGGATAGAGTGTTCCTTTAGAAACACTGTCCCCTTGAAGAGCAAAATAATCACCACTTGGGATGTTTTGGTCCAGAAAACGAAGAATTGGGGACAGAGTTTGATGTAGTAGAACCCACTTGTTCGTATTTAAATTCTGATAAGGGATTAATAGGATAAGAACTCTAGTGAAAGGAAACTCTATTAGTTTCTTTTCTATGTAGACGTTATACATGTATGTACATAATTAATTCTTTACGTCATATCAACAAAATTGCCTAGGGTCGTTAAGTTCAGTTAGCAATACTTGCATTTTTTTTTTACTTATAAAACAACTTTTCTCAAAATGCTATTAATGTATGATTCATATAATATTTGCTTGTTTACTTACA